GAATCTCTCACTGAACTGTCTGTAGTCAAGTTCTGTTGTGAGTGATGTAAGTGCAGATTAAGAAGAAGACATTATCTCCAGGTCCGTTGCATCAATTTTGATCATTTAGTTTTTAAAATTGTGAGTCTTCTGTGAGTCCCACAAAAAGTGCAATGCTAAATCAGGTGAGTGTTCTTCTGCAGTTGCATTTCTGATATAGGCTATCTCCAAAGACCTTTTTTCACTTTTTTAAAGAATATATAACTGTGTGAGTAACTCTTTGTCATTCAAGTTCCATGTATTTTCTCATCTGTGCAGAGACTCTCTGGAGTCGTGGTGGGCTCAGTGTGAGTGTAGCTCTCAGAGAATGGCTACACCAAACCACACACATCATACTCCAGGGCATACTAACGTGGCCTTGCTTTCCAGTGCATCAAACACTTTGTTGTTGTTATTTTCGCTTATTATGATTAAAGTTCAGCATGATTATTTATTCCCTCCAGAATATATATTTTTCACTTTCACATTTATAGGTTTGAGGTGTTTTTTGTTTTTTTTTCACCAGATAGTGCTAATCAGGCATATTAATATTTAGGGGGAAAGAAGCGTTTTGGTAATAACCGTGACAGAAGCACATTATGGTTCGGGGCTGAGGCACATCAAAGGCCCGTTTGAAAAAGCTGTTTATTTATTTGTTGTTTTGAACGAGAAACCACTTTTTGTCTGACCTTGTTTCTGTGTGAACTCAACACATTAACTCTGCTTTGTGTTTGAGCTTACAGGTAAAAAAAAAAAAAAACAAAAAACATTTCACATGACCTTGCACATTCTGAAGCGTAGATAACGGGAAGAACTGCACATAACAGCCCGGCATTTGAGCATTTTGATGTCTGTGCAGTTTATCAGTGCTATTACACATTAGAGTGTGCCTGCATGCACTACTATTGCAGTGACACTGGTGAGCATGTGTGGGCGTGCTTTTTAAAAATAATACTGAACACCTCTTGTAAACATGTATTTTCATCAAAATGGTGATTTTTTTCAATTCTTTCCGTTATTTGATTTTTTTAGGCTTCACAACTTTGTACAACACAGTTCTACATCTCTCCAGAGTTTCAGCTGCAGAAATAAAGGAGCACATCAGTCAGTTGTATCATTTGTTATGTGACACTTTTGAGCAGTAATATAGCAGCAAGCCACTTGCTATGTAAAGATATAGTGGAGTAATGGCATCCTGAGCAGTCACACTCCCTGTGTGGTAGGTTGTGGTAACTGGTCCATTCATGCCTGCATGTTAGTGCATGTGATTACCTGTGAGTGTGTCCCATAGGGCTGTAGTCTCCTGGTCAACTAGTCGATTATTTGGTCGCTTTGCTCTCGTCCGACCAAATTCTCATTGGTCAAATAATCGCTGTGTTACTTTCATAAGGAGAAGTGCTAACATTACATCAATAGCTTTCCAGGATTAATCCATTATTTCCTGCGGCGGGGGGACAGGCTAAGTTACCTGTGAAAATGGGGGTGTTTTCAAAACACCCCCGTTGTTGACAGAAAGTTGAACTCGCCCACCCTCACGCTCAGCATCGTGGTGACGCAGACCTCCTGTCTGTTTCTGTATACTGAAACCATTTCCCCCAGTGGAAACGAAGCTTGTATTTACTTGTATTTAACAGATAAGAAAAAATAAATTGTGAAGACAGTAAAGCCTCCACTAAAATAGCATTTTAAGTCGTGTGTGTGATTTATCCTTCAGGGATTTATACTTAGGGATTTATCCTGGCTTCATATGAGCAGAGGAAATCTCCGCTCGTCGCCAGGCTAATTTATACAGTGTAAAATGCCATAGGCTGACGCTAATAACGTTAGCATGTTGTATTTGCTTGGAAAACGTGTTTAGTATAAGACAGTTGTTTTGTCAGTGAATCTTGTGAGTTGTAATGGAGCCAAATTATGTACCGTTACCTTTGTTACATGTTGCTATTGTCCCTGGTTTTATATGAGAAGAGAAAAAGATCGCTAGACGCTAGCCTAATTTATACAATGTAAAATGTCTTAGACTTGTGCTAATAACGTTAGCATGTTGTATTGGTGGGGGAAATGTGTCCAGATAAAGACAAGTGTTTGTCTGTCAGTTCTGCGATTTATAGTGAAGCCAGTTTGCGTACTTGTGTTTGAAATTGTCTCTATTAAGCCATGTTTAATGTGTGTTTTGAATCAATTATATAAATAAAGTTTGATTTGAACTAAACTTTACAGCACTTAACACAGCTGACTAGTGTTTTGGAGGTTGTAACTGCAGAGTGACACAGTACAGGGGCAGAAATCCCGGGGGGGACAGGGGGGACAGGGGGGACATGACTCCCCCTTCAGTAAAGCTGTACCCCCCGAGAATCATTTGAGACACAATTAATAATTTTTGAAAAATGCAGTAGTATTTATTGAAAGCACAATGTAAGCGGTGCTCATTATAATCGCACAATAATGTGCTATTTAAATCTTAAAAGATTTAGTCCCCCCCTCCCATTCCTAGTAGTGTTATATCCCACACTCTTTCCAACGGGCGGGGCTGCTTGGCAGCAGTAGCAGCGTGTGGCTGGAGCCGCTGCCCACATCGCGCATCGCAGGGTAAGATGTTCACTCACACAGACACAGTTTAACTTAGGCTACACATGTTACAACACATCCCATTTACTGTTACAAGAAGCCCCAGGCCCAGGCTGATAATATAAACTGTCTGCAACATTTCTCCTGCATTGTTCAAAAGCCTACTCAATTACGAGTGCTGCTAAGCTAAAAGCTAATGATTAAGCTCAGAGTTTAGTAATAGAGAGGACAGGAGAGAAAGAAGAGGGAGAGGACAGGACAAGAGCAGTCAGTGGCGAAGCAATGGCTACCTGTCTGTAGGCTCTCCACCTGTCAGTGAGACAAACATGAGAGACGTGCAGTCTGACCTACGAGGAGCGGTCAATACACATGACTATTACGCACGGTTGTGACGGAGCGGCTCATAGCTAATGGGTACCTGTCTGTAGGCTCTCCACCTGTCAGTGAGACAAACATCAAAGACGTGCAGACAAGGAGCGGTCATTACGCACAACTATTACGCACGGTTGTGAGGTGCGCAGCAGCAGATCTCACAACACACTGTTTATAAACCAGTTTACCAGTTTAATTGCAGGAAATGTTTAGTTTTAGTTTTAGTTTAGTTAGTATAGACATTCACTCTGCCTGTTGGAGAGATAGAGAGAAGATTAAAGCGTCAAATTGCGGTAAAAGATGCTGTATAAAAGACAGGCTACAGCTTTTTTTCCTTGTCCCCCCGCCCCCCTGGAATTATTCTCTAAAATTTTACTGTTTATTGTCCCCCCAACTATGAAATGGGATTTTTCGCCCCTGGACACAGACACACCACCACAGAAGTAAAAATAACGTGCAGATTTTGTTTCCCCCCACGACTAATCGATTAGTTGAAGATTATGTGTGACTTTAGTCGACCAAGATTTTCTTTGGTTGACTACAGCCCTAGTGCCCCAATGGCTAGCTAATCGCAGCTGCTCTGCACTGCGCTCATGGCAGTTACCATAGGCAGAATGGCGTCATCGTAGAAGCCCCCCACCCCTACATAAAGGTGTGGATTATCTGGTACCGAAAACAAAGGTCTTACGAGTATCATCTGAGTAAAATGTGTCAGTATCCGAAAATTCTCTGGGTAACTGTGTTCAGTCTCTCACTCTTCACTTTAGAAAATGATCTGAAGCTCAATTCTCACATTGTTCTGTAAATCGTTTTCTTAGGCCCCGATCACACAGAAAAAGTTTGCAGGTTGCAAAACGTGAGGCACACCACACTGCCTTTTTTTTTTTTTAAATTATATTGAATGCCACTTGTAAAAAAAAAAAAAAAAAGTTGCTCCTTTTTATTGTTGCCAGGCAATCACGCTTTTACACTAACCTTATCGTGTAATCAGTCTACCAGTTTGTTTGTTTTTCCACAGTAATTAGTATCTACTTCCTAAAATGTTGAGGCAGAGGGTACTTGCTGTATCTCTGGTTTAGGGTGAGAGGCTGTCAGCAAATAGTTTGTTGGGCACAGAGAAACAGAGACCTGTGTTGGAACATGAGACCCTAAAAAATAGGGTGGATCACAGGGCAGTACCACCAGTTGGTCCAGGAGCTTCGCCTCAATGATGGCCATTTCCAGGCATATTTTGGGATGACTCAGGGGCAGTTTGACAACCTGCTGTCTATCATTGTGCTCTATAGCTCTGGGTATCCAGCAACTGCTACCACCAGTTTCTCCTCCATTGCTTATCAACTGTAAACTTGTTGTCGTGACCACCACAGAAGGCCTGCCTCTCAAATCATCCGATTGGACGATGGGAAAAAAGATGATGGAAAAAGACATGACGTGGGGCGCAGAAACGCAAGGCACCTCACATTGAAAAACTGCAAGCAAATAACTTCATTCTTTTTAAAAACGGCTACAAAAAGGTGCCTTCAGCTGCTATAACTCTTTCTGTGTGATTGGGGCCTAATTCTTAACATCAAGCTACATCAATTTCAGGTTTGAATTAGAACTTCCAGTCAGACCACACCATTTCTGGGTTTAACTCCACCCATTCCTGACTTAAACTCCACCCACCTCCGGTTAAAACCCCACCCATTCCAAGTACAGATATGAATTCAGATTTAGTTGGCTGCGCAGATACAAATAATGGTGTACTCCCTCATCCCTAACTGTAAACTCAGTTCCAGCTCAGACTTTGAATCATAAATGCTCTGAATGTAACATACAGCTCCTGTAAAAGCAATGATGACATACAGTACAGACCTTGAATAAACGAAACATTTTGCTTTGTTAGGCTGGAATGTTGAACAACAAGTACGATAGTTGCTTCAACCCTGGTGTTCAGACATTGAACGCAGCTCTATTCAGCAAACTTAACAATTGCAATAGTTGTGCTAAGAAATGTTTCTTCTCTTTCTCCTTGTCCCGCTACCCTCCCTTCCCCGGCTGTACAGAGTGCAAGTTCCACTGCACCAATGGGAATTGTTTGCGTCTGGGCTCGCTGATCTGCAACCAGCTGAATAACTGTGGGGACAACAGCGATGAGGAGAACTGCCCTGTGGTCACCCAGCACCCTCCACCGGGCATCTTCAACTGTGAGTGCTGCAGGGTGCTCTACCTCTGTGCCTCCCTCTCTGTACCTCGCACCATCACACAGCACAGATACATACTGATTCACATTTCTTTCCTCATTCATTCTCCTCCTTGTCTGTCCTCTCTGCTGCTTTCAGTTTTGTTTCTCCCTGGGGTGTCTTTGTTAATCCCCACTGAGCATATATGCTGTGGGTGGGCGTGGTACTGCAAACCAGCTTTCAATTGAGTATAATGAGTTTTATAGGATCAAACTTTTGTGGCATGTAGATTCAAAAAGTAGTGAACTCCTGCACATCATCAGCACCAAACAGACTAATGAAGCTACATTTTGATCATAAACCTTCATCGGGCATTAAACAAACAACACAATAACCATTACTTTTATAACAGCCGCAGGCTATAGAGTCACGAAAGGAGTCGGATCACAGGAACATTTGAAAAGATTTGAGACGTTCAATAGTACAATTAAAATCTATGATGAGGAAAAAACAGGGGAAAGGTAGTACAAAAATAAGTTAAACTGATGCGAAATGTTAAAAAAGGTTTTCAGCACTCAGTCATGTCCTCATTAGAATGAATTGGCCTATGCACATGTGTGCAAAGACAGTCCTAACCAGAAGAAGGGCAGCAATGGTCACAGAACAGATAAGCTTCCACTTTATCATATGTAGCAATTTTAAACTGACCGATGTGTCGTTTGTGTCCTACTACGCTGGGTGTACATAAATCCATTAATACTAAAAAAAGGAGAACACATTTTCTTTTTGTATACTTCACATAACAACAAATAATTTTTGTCCATCTTCTGTCCTGTTAGCACCACCTAGGATGGTGACATGTTACCCAGGTCAGATTATGTGATGATTGGATAAATGAAGACTTCAGTCGAGTTTCAGATGTATCACATCTCACATGTATTCCCAGTCAAGTCCAAATTATACTGTACGCATCTGCATGTTCTGGAGGATCTGAGTGAAGCAAATGTCTTCATCTGACCCTGTTTGTGAGGGTCCACAGGAACTGTCCTCCTCGTGCATCCTCCTTCTGTATGGGACTTGTTTGACTATTTCTGTAGACAAACGTGCAAGCATGTCTGTGTATATATTCACCCAATATAGTAAAAACAGAGCCATATGCACGCTTGCTGTCTGTGCCTGTTTAAGAGTATGTCCAGTCCTGAAGTAACTGTTTTAAACCCTCAAAACCTCCCATATGGAGGGGGTCAGGGTGGATATATGGACATTCAGAGTGTTGCACTCTGATGCCATGGACTGTAGTTTGCATTCTGTCTCTACCTGACAGGACCTGACCTGTCTACCAACAGTCACAATGGTTTCTTTTAACCCTGACTGCAGCCTTCCCTTCACTCCAGCCCCATTTCCACCAATCACGTTTGGTATGGTACCTTTGGAACCAAAAGTAACCCTTCAGACATGGTACCTTTACCCTAGGTGGGCTTAGTATCTCTACTGCAAACAGTACCCTTAAATGTAGGTGGGTCTGTTGTCACTCACTGCTCCATCCAGCACTCACTGTATTTCCTCATTACTGGTGACAGAGATGGAAGCCTGCACCTCGTTTATCGTCCACAGAACTAGGCTGCACGCAGACATTTTCAGAACAAAAAAAAAAACAGGCTGCAATGAGAGTCTGTCTCCACAGGATATTTAAAAAGGCAAGCTCGGGGGTTTAGTGTTGCCGGAGACCTCGGGTATGACGCTCCATGATGCTCAGAGTGAGGATTAGAATATACCAAAAATGGGGGCAGAACTTAATGGTTCAATTGGTACCATCCACAACTTTTCACAGTGGAAATGGAAAAGAAAGAGTAGAATCAAAAACCACTCATGGGTTTACTGTGGGTCTACAGGTGTGCATTCGATTTTATACTCTTCTGTAGCATGTACATTCAAAATTAACACATGCACTTTGTATCTATCCTTTGTTTAATAATAATAATTTGGTACTTATTATCAGTCTAATTAAACTTCTAGTTTGAAGAAATCTGAGCATAATGTCATTTAATATTATGAATATGCAGTGAGAGCCTCATACAGTCCTTGGAAGTAAACACACCATAAACTGCCATAGGGAAGGACTCCTATAGAGGCAGTAAAGGATTTATTTCATATCCATCTGAAACAACTTCCTTCTCAAGTTTTTCCACCTTTCCATTTCAGTGCAGGTTTTGTTTGAATCTCTTTGCTTCTTTCATAAGCACCCCTCCACCCCTCCGCCAACCACCTCCTCTTACCTCCCGCTGAGCAGCACTGTCCAGGGAACGAGATGAGAGTGTTCCCTCGACTCGCCACGATCAATGGAAACAGAGAGACAGAGAGAGAGAGGGAGAGACGGTGAGAGAGATAGAGAGAGAGGGAGAGGGTGAAGGACACCAATGGGCTCCGATGGCTGTCTGCCAGGCCACTTTGATGTGCTGCAGCGTTCTCTTTCAACAACTTTTAGGAGGAGAGGGAAAACTTTTTACAGCAGCACTTTCATCCTTGGCTCTGTGTGTGTCTGTGTGTGTGTATGTGTGTGTGTGTTTGTGTCTGGTGGGTTCCTTACCTTCCCCTCCATCCCTCCCTCCCTCCCTCACCTCCCTACCTCAGATGCGCTTCACCTCTCAAACCCACCAACCTTGTTGTTTTGTAAATTTATCTGGCCTTTTTTTCTCTTTCTGCCTGCCCTTCTTTTCCTCCACAAGGCAATAAGAACAACCTTTTTTATTATTATTTTCGGAGGGACGGGCGGGGTTCCGGGGGCACTCATTTCCAATGGATAGAATCCTGAGCCGGGTACTTAAAATATTTAGCTGTCTAGAGCGAATGTTAATGTAAGTGTCTGCAGCCGGCGTTATGGGAAAGCTGTACAATGATTGTAATTTTCTGAGCCGGTGCACATTTTCTAGTGATGCCTGAGAGACAGTGAGGGAGGAAGGGAAAAAGAGAGGGATGGGTGGATGGAGAGAAGGGAGAGAGGAAAAAGAAGAAGAAAGGTCGAGATTGCCAAAAAAGAGTGGCGGGGGATTGGGAAGAGTGCAGACGGACTAAGAGGGAGAGAAAAGAGGGAGATGGAAGTGAGACAGAGGGCCAGACGGAGATGAGGAGGAAGATGGAGAGAGAGAGAAGGAAAGAGAGAGAGGGGGGGATGAGGAGGAGAAAAAGAGGAAGAGGACAGGGACATAGAAAATGTTTCTGTGGTAATGGAGTTTGCCATCTTGTTGTAGCCGCTGGCTGTTGCCGTGGCAGTGGCAGACAGATGGATCATGAATACTGTCTAGACACACTGCAGCCTGACACACTGCATCCCCCCCCACCACCCTACACACACACACACACACACACAAAAACACACACCTCCTAATCTAGGGCCGCTGAACTGGCTTCCCTAAATGCAATGCAGTGCTTATTAATGTTATTAATTACAACTGTGTGTTTCCTGGTGAAATGTCTGCTGGGAAAAGCATCTGTATTGAATCCAATAAAAAACAGTAAGCCTCATCCAAAACATTTTTGACCATTGCAGCTTGTTTTAAAGCCAGACTGTTTAACTTTTTAAAGAAGAAAAAACACCCTCTTCTGCTTTCAAATGCAAAGATGAATTATTGAGACATAAAACACACCTTTGCTCAATACAATACATTCAGGCAGTGGTGTAATGTAACAGAACAATAATACTTTGTTACAATACTTAAGTATTAAGAATTGAGTTCTTATATTTCTGTCACCTTTCATTTTTATTCCACCACATTTCCCAAATTAAGTGTGTATCTTTATTCCAAAAAGGGGGTTAAATACTTCGAATAGAAGTATTTAACCCCAGTTTCTATGCATTTCTATGCCCTAAGGTTAGATGATTGATTAATTAAACAAGGGCAAGTGCAAAAAGCGGCCTGGGTTCATTTTAAACCTATGGCCCCTTGCTGCGTGTCATCCCGCCACGCCACCCCACACCCTCCCATACTTCATGTCTATCTTTAGCTGTACTATCAGTAAAAGGGACAATGCCCAAAAAACTAGGTCTACTGGCAGCGCAGGCGGAGCACAGCCGGTGTAGTGGCAGTTTGGCTGACCGGCGGACAGTGCGCACACGTCACCAAAACCTCACAGGCAGGTCTCCAGAATGTCAGGTACATTAACAATGCAGTAAATACCCACAAAACCAGTATTCAATGCAACTATCTGCAATCAGCACGTAAATGTATCTCTATATCGACTGTCCCGTCACATCTGATGTCAGATCAAAGGGGATTGGCACCGTTTGGCACCGTTTGGCACCGTTTCGCACGCGTAATGGAAACCCAACCTGATTTGATTAACACAGCTGCAAACTAATGAGTTCACATCCCTCTCAGCCAACCACAAACAGCCACAGCATCAGATAGGGAGTATATATTCAGCATCTGTCATCTTAGAAAAGTCAAAAGAAAAGAAACAGAGTGAGACTGCGAGAGAGAAAGAGAGAGCACGCGCACGACTCCTCCCAGGCTACCTTTGCATCATCAGCCCGTGGAGGTCTGCTCGCAGTTCCATATATTTGGACACTGCGAGCTTGGACCTCCCGGACCAAAACATCAGTTTCCTCCTGGGAGAAGTTTGGCTGTCTCACGCTGCTGCTGCTCTCTTCTGCCATGGCGAATTGAGTAAACTCTCATTACACCTTTGGCGGCACATTTAAGGGCGAAGAGAGGGTCTCATTTGATTGGTGTGATGTGTGTAAAACCCACTCCACGCCTTCACTCCTCCCTCTTTCCGACTTGCGCAGGTAGGAGGGACGGAGGAGGGAAAGAGGAGTAGCTGTGCCAGGCGCACGGTGTGTCAAACTTGCAAAATCCGCCTGGCCACACCCAGTTGGTAAAGCGCAGGTGCGCTGCGCCTCCGCCTCATCCAGTCTGCAAAACTAGAGGCCTTTAACTCAAGTAACTAATAGGCCAGTATGACCATTAGCTAATGGTAAATATGACTTAACTGAGTTTGTCAAAGCACACTCAGTGATTTTTGGA